TTTAAATCAAGGGTGTATTTGCATATCCCTGCCACTCAGTTTCACACCTGCAGCATTTTTATGCACATTTGCTCTCAGTTGAATTTCCTCATTCATTCATGCATTCATTCATGGGAACCAAATAGGTGCCAGGCATCCTATGCACTGTCAAAGATAAAAGATGAAAAAAGCATTTCCTCTGCACTTTGAAGGCCGTACTTTGGTAGGCAGGAGTAAGGTGGCCAGCACATGTGTCACATATAATCCAATGTAGGAAGTGATGAGGGACATAGAGACTGGGGGTGTTCAGGAGAGGGAGGGCTTATCCCTTGCTCTCTTGGTGATGAGGATCAATGAAGACTTCACAGGAAGTTCCAAAGGACATTCTAGGAGGGGGAACTGCCAGAACAAAAACCTGGAAGAAAGGCTTGGGATAAATAGGACAAATACAGAGGCTTCAGGGTCTGGCTGCGTCCCATATGGGTGGAAGGGAGGTGAGGAAAGTGTCAGGGAAGGTTGAAAGATGACCAGAGGCCGGGGCAGGGAAAGCCTTGAGTCCTCTGAAAGTAAAGGCAGCCTCAGTAGCCTGCTGCTTTGTTTGATTTGGAACAAAAGATAGCCTAGCTGAATAAGAATGTATCCAAATTCTGTACTTTATTAGCCAATCTAACCACTCAAATTTTAATGATTTCATTGTCTGACCATTCTGAAAATTGTTTTCTGGCTAAAATGGACGAGGCTATCGGTAAGTATGGAGCGTAAGTGAAAGTGAGCCTGCGTTGTCCTTCTCACCGGCTGTGTTCAGGCACACTATGGGCACAACATTTCGGTCGCTTATGAATGCCACGGGAGCTTTGTTCTGCAGCTGATGGGAGTGGCGGGGAAACAGGTTTTAAGAAGTCGGCTCAGGCGTCTTACTGCTCCACCGGGAATGGGGAGAAACATCGTTCACCTCACGCATCTACATATAAGTTCAGCTTAGAAATAAATTACATCAAAGACCATTCAGTGAGAACTAAGCCACTAAAAGCCAGAAGACTAAGCCCAGCAAGGTTACCTGGAAGCACAGGGAACGGCTGAAGTGATAATGGAAAGTGTCTTCTGCCTTCTGAAATGGACGTACCGAGCACTAACAGGGACCTGCGGGTCTGTGCTAAACTGCTGCACATGCACACACACACACACACACTGTCACACATGCTCGCACACACCACTCTCACACACCACACACTTCCACATACTCGCATACACTCACATACACCACTCGCACACACCACACACTCATACACACTCACACCACACACTTTCACACACCCCACACACTTTCACACACACACCCCACACTTGCACACACCCCAAACACTTCACACACACACCCCACACTTTCACACACCCACACACTTTTACACACATACACCACACACCACACACTTTCACACACACTCACATATACCATTCACACATACCAGATACTCACACACACTTTCATACACTTGAGCACACCCCACACACTTTCACACACACTCACATATACCACTCACATACCACACACTCGCACACACTCCATACATTTTCACACACACATTCACATACACCACACACCACATACTTTCAGACACTCGCACACACATTCACATACACCACACACACCACACACCTTCACACACACACTCACACACACCACACACTTTCAGACACACCCACCACACACCACACACTTTCAGACACTCACACACACACACACACATATACCACACACTCACACACTATACACATATACCACACACCACCTCCACTCACTGACAGGAACCTGTGGGTCTGTGCTAAACTGCAACACATGTCCACACACACCCCACACCCTCACACACACACACACCACCCCACGTATCCTCCCCACACCACACACACACACAGGAACCTGCCAGTCTGCGCTGAACTGCTCACACGTATGCACCCCACACACACACACACCAGTTTAGCTTATATAAAAAGGAGAAAAAAGCAGCCAAGAAAAATAACTTTCTCTCTATACAGAGCTATTTTCCCTCTTATCCTCTTTCAGCTAGTTTTAAAGTCCTGTCCCCATTGGAGCCTATGGGGCTGCATGTTCTCTTGGTAATGCCAGCCTGTGCTGTTTACCTGCTTGTGACTTCTCTCCTTTGACCTTCACATCTGACCGAGTTTTAGTGATTTAAAATGCTTTTCCAGGCCACTTGGTGTTATAGGATTACAGATGATGTAGAAATGGAACATTCTGTTATTTTTAATGGGAAAGCTACTAAGAATGCAATCAGAACAATCCAAGTAGAATAACTTCCCAAGCAGACTCCTTGTGCCATGGATAACAGGATGCTTTAATGGACTGAAAAGGAAGAAGCCGGTTGTAAATATTCCTGTCATTGGAAAAGCAGAAATTTAGGTATTTGGTTCTGTACTAATTTTCACATTGGCCCCGTATCTTGAGTTCTATATTCATACTCCTTCCCTCTAATTCTTAAACTCTTTGATCCTTTTTCTAGAAGGAGCTCACAATCCACTTCAGACAGTTTCATTGCTCCCTTCAGTTAGCCTTTCTGTATTCTGCAGGGTGAGGCTGTTTGTGTCTGCAGCTAATTTTGCTAATACAACTTTAAAGAAGCCAAGGGATGAGAGTGTAGTGAGGATTTCTACAGTGTTGGCAGCAAACAGGGAAAAGCATCATATGAGAGCCAGAATTCCTCAAAAGGACTGCTGTGGGTGAAAACAGAACAACAGCAACAACAGACCATCTTTTATCAGAGGAGTGCTGAATTCATCAACATGAATTAACCATATTTTACTCCAAAGGTGATAAGCAAAGTCTTGTTTTTCTAGACATAAAAAAAAAAAAAAACCAAGGACACAAATAGTCCTGCTTCCTATACTAAGCTTTCCTTTGCTCTCTTAACTACCTATTAATAGAATCATGAGCCCTTCTGAATTCCAACATGGTTCATATTCCAAACTTGAGCGCTTTGTTGTTTTTGTGGGTTTTTTTTTATTTGTTTGCTTGCTTTCCACTGTCTCTTACAGGTAAATTTTGTCCTCCCAGGTAGAGTACAGATTATTGCTTCTACTTCTTCATTATTTCCTGCAGCATCTAATGGGGTGCTAGGTGCTAAGGAAATTACCCTCTCCAGCTTACTTACCAATCTATGAAAATGTGCCAGTAGGAGGAGAGATCCTTTGGTCCCTGTTCCCCGACAGAGCCAAGAGACAACATTAGATTGGGCACAAGGAATACTGGAGTGGGCAGGATTCTTTAGCTCATTTCTAGCAGGAGGATCTTTGCACTGATGTATTTCGCCTCCATCCTCTGTAATGCAGACTGTACCTAGTCTAACCTGTACACAGGATCAAACCTCCTGTAGCTACATGAGTCACAATGCACTGATTCCCCGACATGCTTCAGTAAAGCCCAGCTAGTGAAATATTTCTATTTCTATTTCTATTGGCTTACATATGGCCATACTCATATGCTCAATTTCTTTATGCCTCTTCTTGGAGCCACAACTTTTTGGCCATTTCTGGTCAGAGTGGTTGTTTTCCACTTTATTGCCTTTGTAGATGTCTTTCTTTCTTGATCTCAGCACTTGTTCTTCTATTTTTTTTTTTTATGGTAAAATTTGTATTTTTTCATTCATTCTTCAGATTTGGAAATTGGCATGAGTTTAAATGTTGACTGATAATAGTCTTAACAATAGTGACAGAGTTTTCTTGCTTGATTGCTCTCAAATTACAAGGTTGTTGACCACTTTAGTTCTGAGATTTGGAGGGTTCCCCCCCCCCATGGAAGTTACACCTGGTTACATTTTTTTTCTTCTATGGGAAAAGTATTTTGAAAGCATGCCATGGCAGGTCTTTGAAGCAAACCACTGGATGGCCAGATCGTCAGCCCCTGAGGGTACTCTATTTGGCCATGGAGAAAGTCACCTTCTACTGAAAGGCAAGGGAAGTACTCACAGCTCCCAACAACTAAAGGTTTAATTTCTCTCTTTGAGAAGGCCCCATAGGAGGCTTTAAGCAAAATCTTTATGAAAGGATTCCTTCTCTGAATATTCCAAACAGGCCTCTTTGTTAGGACCAAGAGAGCTGACAACCATCCCGGGAATCAAATCTCCCTTATCATTTCCAGACTATTTTACCTTGCTGTGAACACCCTATTGGTGGGAAGGCCACAAATGGTTCTCTCAGGCTTCCCTCAGTCCACCACTCTGCCACTTCTGAAATGGCCCAGCCCTTTTTCAGCCTCCTGTATTTGACTCCTTACACCATGGGGAAGTCCCCCTTGGATTCCAAAAGAAAATTAAACTCCTTGGAATCCAAAACTAACAAACTTTCACAGAGTGGCCCCAGGTGGATTGGTTATCATGATATTTCAGTCTCACCTAACCAATAAGAGGGCTGGTTGGCAAGTTCCCAGGATGAATATTCTCATATGAGCAGTGGATTAGAAGAAGCCAAAAGATTTTCGGCCATCTACATGCTCAACTTACACCCCACCTGGGTTCTGAGGTAGAGATCTTGTGACGGTTGGGGCCCTGCAAAGCAATTAAAAGAAATAAAGCAAAGTATTATATTTTAATTGATGTAATCTTCAAGCTCCCAGTGGAATCTGGGGTGATATCTGACTAGAGTTACCCTAGGTATCAATAGATGACTATTCTGTGAAAGTGCATTTAGGAAGACAAAACCCCAGAATGCTGAACTTCATTAACATGTGTATCCGTTTTGGGGTTTGGGGGTGGGGATTGGCTCAGACTCCCAGGACTGAAAATTGAAAGAAGCCACCTAGACTTTCCTGGGATCTGAACAAAGAGCCAGCCACAGGGGGTGGGGGAGTGGAGAGGGACGTTGAAAGAGGGAGAAAGACAAGGGCAGGTGGAGGGGAAGATACAAAGTGGGTTTATGTGTTTATTTGCTTTTCGAGTCTAGTACCTGGATATTAGACACACTGAACCATGCTTTCCGAATCCAAACAGCTTCCATCCATCACTAACATCTCAGGGTTTGTTTCTGTTTTATTGTAAATTCCAGTCGAAGAAAGATAAACAGACAAGAAAAAACTGCTTTATACAGTATACAGAGTCAGATAGAAAATACAGAATGGAAAAGAAAGCCAACGACCAACAGATAAAAAGTGGAGACAAACCAAGGAAGAGTACTAGCTGGTTGCAAATTCACTACCAGCTTGAGTGAGGTGCAGCGATGGGCTCAGCAGCTAATAGAAACTGTCTAGTGCTGTCAGTCTTATCTTTATTCCACACGGTGAAAGAAACAGACTTTATAAATGATGCATGGGGACATTTATTTCACTAATCCATTAAAAAAAGTTTGCTATTGATCAAGATATCCTGCTCATAAAAACAAGTTTTTTAAAAAACAACCCTTCCCGCCCCAAATGTGATCTGACAGTAGGAGCCACGTTGTGAGAAGCATGGGAGGGAGCCGTGGGTGGGAACGGAATGGCACCACTGGGGTCTGCAGTCAGTTGGCCTTCGGGTGCCCGTCCCACCAAATCCACGTTTCTCCACGAGGCTTGAGGCAAGGTTTAAAAAATACAGAAGTGTCCCGCACAGCTTACTGTCATTTGATGGTTGAAGAGAAAGAAAGAAGAAGGATTCAAATTCATGAGAGAGAAGAGGTCAGCTTAGGACAAAACTGGCATCCTTCATATGAATACTCGGGGTACCATTTGGCCCCCAGGATAGCAGCTCTAACTAACTGTCCTGGCACAAAGAGGATGCTGACCTCCCTAACCAGCAAAAACACGAATTAAGTTTGTCATCTTCCAAAGATGTCTTTATTTGAGTACGTTCGGAACAGAAACAACGTGAGGACAATTTGATTCAAGGTGGTGGCAACGCTGGTAAAGGTGGAGGTGGTAGCGGCTGGCTGTTTGTTTCTCTCTCCCTCTGAATTTTCTAGGTTTACAATCAGAAATTGCATAGAATTTGTTTTCCACCAGCAAACGAAAACTCTCCGTGTGAAACTCTCACGTAGTGAAGCCAGGCAAAGGCCAAGCAGCTGCTGGGAATTCTCGCCCCTGCCATCAGCTGTGTGCTCTGGACCTTGCAAACTTCTCACTCGTAGAACAGTAACTAGCAGTCATCTGATAAGCTGGAAAGCATCAGTAACTCCCATTCTGAGGATGGAAGAGAAGTTAAATGCTTAACCTAAAGTCACACAAAGGGAGGCAACTGCCCAAGCTGAGGTTAGGAGTCAAGAGTTCCTGGTTCCCAGGCCTGCGTACTAGGCTAAGAGACTTCACCCCTCTCCCAGGAACCTGGCAAATTCTTGATTACTTAAGGTCTTTCCACTTAATGAATACACACACACACACACACACAAACACACGTGCGTGCACACACACACTCTCACACCTAGATCTCACATTTAAGTAGCAAAAAACTACCCAATCCATTATAGCCTTGGGGGTCTGGTCATAGGCAGCCACTAAATTTGGTTAAAAAAAGATGCAGTTGACAAAGTTACGCACCATACCAACAGGGTGGCCCTGTCCCTCCTCCTTGAACAGCACATCCCAACAGAAGTCAAGGCCATGGTATGGGAAAATTATATTTACCCTTTCTGCTCCTTAAACAAAGCCCGGGATAATTTGTGCATTCTGTTCTCCTCGCCTGTCTTTCTTCAGAGACCACAGTCACAAAAGATCAAATCAAACCCATTAATAGTGAAAGTCAAAAAAAAATAAATAAATAAAGAGAAAGAAAATACAGATTAACTTGAAATCTCAGGCATTTCTCTGAGTAAACTATGAGTTAATTGCTTTTTGGCATTTCAAAAGTACTTTAATGGACTTTTATTTGAGACTCTCCACCTGATTCTTCCTAAGACCCTTTTCCTAAGCTCTGGCAGGCCATCAATTACCATACAGAAAGGAGAGGTCAGCACCTGAAATCTGATGCATATCCTAAATGCATATCCTAAATCCTCCATATCCTAAAATTCTGGAAAAAGGAACAGAGATTATTTAGACTTCTATTCCCTAACCCAGCCTTCCCCTCCAAAACCACAGAGCAAATGATCAGAACTGAGAAGCTGACAAAGAAAAAGGGAGTGGGGCGGGGGGAGAAGGGGAGAAGAACACTAACAAACATATACAAATCCAGAAAAGAAAAACTTCCCTGTTGAGTTTAATTTTTTTTTTCCTGTAAGAACTAGACCGAGGGTACAACGGCCCCTTCCTAGGGGGAAATTCAACTGATGATTCCACCAATTCATTGGATCTGCCTGGGCAGGGACCCCCCCACCCCAGACTCTGTGTTATTTTGGCGAGAGGAAAAGGCCCCCTGGGAGAAGATGGGTCCTTGTGCCCACGAGAGGGCGAATCCTTTGCCTCTTGGGTGCAACGTCTCTGGGCGGACCCCGCTCCCCGACCGGGCGCTGTCTCCGGCTGGGGCGTCAGGCTCTTTGATCTTTTTGTACAGTGACTGGATCCCAAATCCGGAGAGAAGTGTTGACGCTGCGCAAGCCCGGGCGCGCACGGACGGCGGCGCCGGCCCAGCCCCTCCCGCTCCCCGCCGGGCCTCCCGCGTCCTGCCGCCGCCGGGGCTACTCGGGCTCGCTGCTGTTGGTGGTCTTCTCCCAGTCCAGGCTCTCCTCGCTGCGGGCCGGCGACGGCCGCGCCCGCAGGCCCTGGAAGCGGCGGCACTCGGGGCACACGCGGATGTGCGTGCAGCCGCGCGCCACCAGGGCGGCCTCCTGGGCCAGTCTCTGCGCCAGCTGGTCCGGCTCGCCCGCGCCGCACAGCTTGCCGTTGCTGAGCGTCGCCGTGCCCCGCGGCCGCCGCTCCTCCGCGGTGGGGGGCCGGGGCTGAGGGGCCCCAGAGCGCCGCCGGCGGGGGTGCATACTGTCCTGACACAGGATGATGCTGCGCAGCTCGGACACCATCTCCTGGCAGACGGACACCTGGAGGAGACAGCAGCGGGGTCACAGCCCAGCCTCTCAGAACCAGCCCCACGCCTCCCCCGGGTGTGTTGGGATGGGGGGCTGCGGGGGTCGGGTTCACAGGAGCGTGCCACCTTACCTGTGAAGATTGTGTGACGGCCTCTCAAGCCATCTCCTCACGCCCACCCCCTTTTTATGTTCAAATGCCCTCCACACCATAATGTTCAAGGGCCCTAAAGCCGATGGCCCAGTCTTTGAACACCTTCAAAGACCATGATCTCACCACCTTGGGAAGGAGCCCACGCCATTGTTAGACATTTCCATCAAATGCTGCTTCCTACTACTGTGCTAACGACTTCTATCCCTGAAATTTTCATTCATTGATCCCAGCTAAATTTGGACCTGGAAGCCTACAAAGTAAATAACCCCTCCACCACATGTCAGTCTCTCAGGCATTTGCAAAAGCTACCATGTGTCCATGAACATTCTGTTCTCAGGCTGCAGATCCTCATTTGTTTTAACCAACTGGTTATTGGCTGGAGATGATGCATTCTAATGATAACTAAACCAAGAGCGACCCCTACTACTGCAGGTCCACAATCTCCCAATAGGAAACGCTTGATTCCAGCTGAGTTTCAAAATTTGGAATATTCTGGATATTTAGGATTTTAGGAAGGTAATACGATGTACAACAGTATATTATGTCTCACACTCAGTGAGCCCGGGGAAGACTCTAATTCAAACACATCAATATTTCTGTAGCAACATGTTTATACACTCACAGTGCGTGAGATAAAGACCATAAACATCAGTCAAGTTTTGTCACTGAATGCATCTGCGTCAAACTTCAAAAGAACTTGAAACGTAACCAAGCTTTTTGGGTTTCAGAATTGTAAATGAAGAATCAAGAACCTGTATTACTACTGTTACTATTATTATATCCATTTCACAAATGTGGAAATGGAGGCTCAGAGAAGTTATATATCTTGCCAAAAATATTTGTCTAATAAATAGCTGAGCTGGAATTTGGACCTAAACCTATCTAACTCCAAGCCCATGAGTTCTCCATTCTGAGCTGGAAAAGACACTTTCCTGGACCATGATAGGAAAAGTAGTCTTTTGTTCTTCCATCCAGTCCTGTCAATGGGACAGTTGTTCTATCATAGCCAAGTGGCTAACATTGCCTTTACTCTTCATTTTAGCTATTGGGAGTGTGCAGACTCCTCAATGAATTTGTCAATGTATGTCCAGACCATGAGCCTTTGGGAGAATAACCAAATGTGAAGCAGTTGAAGAGGGGCAGTCTCACCTAATGCAATATGTCCTGTGCTAGTGCATATTGAGACCTGGATCCTACACCCACTGTTGTCACCAAATAGTAGAGACTCTTGGCTAGTCACTTAACCTCTCTTTGCTTCTAATAATAAATGATGACAATAAAAACAACACTTGCCCTAATCTATTACATGTGACAAGAATAGAACAACATGTATTTATTGACTGTCTATGTCAAGCACTGTGCTCTGCAGGGAAGATACAGGCATAAAAGACACAGTCCTCACGTCAGACAGTTCGATGTCTAGTAGGGGGCACAGCCATCATTGCAATGCAGTGTGTGAGTGCTCCATGCATACGTTATGATGGTGCTGGGAAGGAGGAGGAACGATCAACATTACTGGTCCGAGGAGAAGGCAGGAGAAATGGGGCAGGTTTCTCAGGAAAGGGAATACCTGAACTAGGTCTTGTGGCATAAGTAAGTACCACCACCATTTAAGGAATGGGTAAAGGGAGAAAGCCAGTAAAGCTGGAGATAGGAGTATGAAGGGAACCAAGAGAGCTTAGTGCCATGCAAGGCAAGGAGGAGAGATTCTAGAAGGAACTGTCCACACCATCAAGGGGCACACTGAGGTCCAGCAAGGCTCAATGGATCCTTTGGTTTTGTCCATTGGGAGGGGTCAGACCTGTTAGCAATGGCCTTTCAGTGCAGGGGTGGGGAGAAGCCAGGCTGCCCTGGGTTGAGGACCAAATGGAGGGTGCGGAGATAGAGATTCTCAGTCAGATCCCCTTGGTTTGGAAGATGGGAGGGATAGGGCAAGGACAATGGTAATCTTGCTATTATTTTAAAATATGGCATAAACTTGAGCATATTTATGGATTTGGGAGGGAGAGCAGGTAGAAAAAATATGTGGGAGAAACAGGATAATCCTAAAGTAGTTGAAGAAAGACAGGATAATGTCACAGAGGAGTATTGAGACATCTGCTGCTGTAGTTGCAGCGGTGGCTAGAGCCACCAATTTGGGGTTGGTCACTCCAATTTCTTGGTGATGTGGGAAGTAAAATTAAGCCCCACAGGCCTGGTGCAGTGGCTCATGCCTGTAATCCTAGCACTTCGGGAGGCCGAGGGAAGAGGATTGCTTGAGGTCAGGAGTTGGAGACCAGCCTGAACAAGAGGGAGATCCCATCTCTACTAAAAATAGAAAAATTAGCCAGGCATCATGGTGCATGCCTGTAGTCCCAGCTACTTAGGAGGCTGAGGCAAGAGGATTGCTTGAACTCAGGAGTTTGAGGTTGCAGTGAGCTATGATGAGGCCACTGCATTCCAGGCTGGGTGACAGAGCAAGACCCTGTCTCAAAAAACAAACAAAAACCCATAAGACAAAAAGTGCTATGCATGCATGCAGAAGCCGAGGGGCTTGAGGAATGGGTGGCAGTGTGGAAGTCCTATGTGGGAAAGAGGAGAGGCTGAGCACAGAATAGCACAGGAGTTGCAGGCAGTGTTGGGTCAGGGTCCTATATGAGGCTGGACTCCATAGACTTCCAGGGTCACTGTCTGTACAGGCATGAGATGTTTCTCCAGTGCCAACTAGGAAGAAGATTTCAGGAAGATCCTGAGTGGGGAGACTGAGATAGAGGCGAATGCACTTGAAGAAAACCTAATCATGCAATTAACATGTAAGGATCTATGTACCTTCTCTTGGGTGGAATGGAAGAAGAATGGGGTAAAGTCTTCTTCCTTCTTCTCAGACTCTTCAGTCTGTGTAAAGTGCATATTAACCCCATCTCTAAGTCATATTTAGGGAATTAAAACTTATTCAAAATCCCCGAGAAGGAAGATATAAATCTTAGGTTCACATGAGTTGGGATAACACTCAGGATCTTTACCTATAAGGCAAAAACATGCTCAAAACAGAAGGACTGAGGTCTTTTCCATAAGCAATCTGGTTCTTTCACCTGTTATTCTTTACTATACTACGTCTAAAATTATAGTTCTGTAAGGCTTTCTGTTCATAAAATATTTTTCCCATTTTATTTGCTGGGCTGTTTCAAAGAAGAATCTGAAGTGCAGAGAGGTTAAGTGCCCCTTCTGTGGCTGTGTAATTACTAAGCGATGGATTACCAAGTCCTACCCTGGGGACCTGGGATTCTTCCCATCATGCTCCTTGTGGGCACACTACCCTCCTGTGGGATTTTGCAGGTTCTGCTTGAAATGACTTTTACGTGTGCGTGAGCCCGGGGAACTTTACCCTGTCTGCCAACCCTTTGAAGTTTACCTCAGTTGCTTCTGAGTGTCTGAGAGTCCACAAAAACTCCAACATAGCCATAAAAATGGCCACGATTAAGCCACAAATAAGAACCACAAAGATTCCACCAATATTCTCCATTCCCAGGCCTGTAAGAGAGTGAGAACAAATGGTGTAAAAGAGCAGGAAGACATAATCATTCCACCAAAAGTGTCAAAGTCATTTAAGCAACAAGAACTTGAGTCTTATAGATGTTTTAGACACACATTCCATGAAGAGATTTAATTATCTGTTTTAACAAGTGCAGCATAGTTGGAATAAATCGGAGGAGGAAGATCTCGCTGCAAATAAAGGAGACTGGCAGGAAGCCTAAAAAGGGATCTGGGGTGGGAGGTGAGGATCATCTTGACAAAAGGGCTCAGGTCAAATCTGATTTAGCATATAGAGAGATATGACACCAAAATACCAGTATATTCTAGCAGTTTCATAAAATTTTTAGTCAATCTTCCTAATATTGTGTTTGCATGATGTTTGCAACTGTTTTAACCAAACCATGGATAGTAAAAATTGTGTTTACCTATCTGCATCTGCATGTTACTAAAATACTTACCTATAAAGTAAAACTTTTTATCCCACCAAAATAGTGGGTTCCCAAACCTGGGTGCCACCAGAACTGCCTAGAAAGCTTGTTGAAAATATAGATTCCCAGGTCTTACCCCAGACCTACTGGATCAGTATATCTGGAGACAGGGCCCAGAAATCTGTATTTCTAGACAAGTTTCACAGGTGATTCTTCTTCAGGTAGGCCTAAAATTAGTTTACAAATTGGTATTTTCGGAAGCATTCACAAGTTTTTAAGTCAGGCATAGTTTCTGGTTGTATCCTCATTGCCTGGCACGATACCTGGCATAAAGTGTATATTCAATAAATATTTATAGAATTATGTAGCTGTTCCATTTCCACAGTGTCAAACATTGAGCTTCACTACGTAATGAAATGTTTTTTCTGGCATTAGAGAAACGCGAACTTTACGGGGCGCACCGTAAACCCATGGAACCCCTAATTTGACAGGGGCCACAATCATAAATCAAAAGACATCTTTTATCCAGGAAAATGCCAAGAGGGTGGCTTATGTCCTGTGCTTTTCAGGAATGCCTGTTCAGTTTAAATGCTTGTTCAAATTAGTAGTGTCATCACAGAACACAGAGCTGTGTTAGTGTCAGGACAGTCAGCTTTGCACAACGCTATGAGACACGCTACAATTTAGGAACAGAAATATGACGCTACCTCTGTCCTTTGGAAAGCTGGAAAAAGCCCTTCCTGGCCATTTCAGGATGACTTGAGTTTCCTCTCACACAGCCCCAAGGAAATACCTGTTTTTTGTTTGTGAGAGACACCCAGTGCAGCAGCAGTCCCTGCCTCCAGTGAGAATCCGCTTACAGTGGCTCTGAGGGCTCACATGACAAATGCATCAGGTGGATTTTACACTCCGGTCTGCAGAGCCACACAGTCAACTCCTGAGCACCTATGTGAATGTGGGATCCTCTGTTTTGCATAATCAAAAATGGGGGATCATTATAAAGCTCGATTCTACCTTAATGGCTAAAGCCCTCAAAACATTTACATATGGAAGTCCCACCTCACATAAAAGAAGTAGAAGAAAATGTACCAACCTCCTATGTTAACACCTGCCCCTCTAACCTGGGGTCATATGAGTAGAAGGCTTTTGACTGTGGCAGCATCAGGATCCACAAGCATAAGGGGACGGAAGGGCCACTTAAGAGGGAATGCACCAAGGATCTGGTCGGGGTTTGCAGGCAGATGCTCCAGCCCACAGGTTTAGGAGTGGTGAGAACCGGGGTTTTAGGATGTGTAACTGAGCCGCATGGACAAACTAGTTTCTCCAGCCAGCCCCTGTGGAGGGAGGATGGATGGAGATCTCTAGTGAAGGGCAAGGGACAATGGTGATACTAAGGGTGGTCACCTGCTCAGGTAATGGGTCTCCAAGTGACCGTTGAGATACTATAGGATTCCTGGATCACTTGGGGATAGTTCTGCCTGAGACAGAAAAAAGGGTGAAAGGGTCTCACCTTCTTCTTGCTTCCATAGGGGGTATTCTCCCCTCCCTCTAGGTCTTCTTCTGCTACCCTTGTTCTAGCTGAGTCCCCAGCCTCCCCGTCAGTCACCGCCCCATCCTCCTCCGATCTTCTCCTCCCCACGGCTCTTCCCTCAGCACACACACATGCTCATGTTTCTCCCTCCTTAAGGAAAAAAATCCTCCCTACCTTCTCCAGTTCTGTCTAATCAACACCCCTTCTCTCTCCTTCCTTCCGTGGCCAAGCTTTTTGAGAGTTGTCTATATCAGAACTATTTTAAGACCTTCTAAAAGCCCTTAAAAACACTTACATTTGGAGGCCCCATCTCAAGCAGAAGAAAATGCACCCACATCTTATGTTACATACGTTTTTAAAATTTTGCTTTTGATATTACAAAGCAGCAAGAAACAATTAATTTGCAATTGGCTGTGATTCCTCAGCCATCGTTGTGCATACAGGGGAATGTTGCAAAATAAGAAAATCTAACAAAAAATTGTTTCTAAATGAAATGAAGTTTTTATGAATATTACATTGAAAAATTAATGAAGTTAAAATGTTACACTTTGGAGATATTTAATTAAACATGTCTTAATTTAATTTTACAGATTTCTTTTTGCGTTTTGAAGCCAATCATTTTTTTTTCAGACCACAGACATAATTTTGGACACTTGAAAAAGCTTTCAGGCCCTAGATACTCTGTCTATGGTATCTGAAGGAGAAAACAATTCTGTTTTGACTATATTTTGTTCTGCCTTGCACCACTAAAATCACCCTCACTATGGTTGCCAATAAACATTTTGTTTCTAACCAACTGGAAATTTTCCAGTCCTGATCTTACGTGACTTCTCTTAGCACTTGACATTGTCAACCACACCCCCTCTTGGCTTTTTATAAAGCCATTGATCACTGCTCTCTTCTAACCTACTGAATCTCCTCTGCTTGCTCCGGGGCACATTTTCTTCTTACTTTTCTACATTTGGTATCTTGCCTGTCCTCTATGGCCTGGCTCTTAATTTCCAAGTCCTGCTGGTTTTACCTCCTAAATATTTTTCAACTCCTTACCCTTTTGTCTATCCCTCTGACCACTTCCCTAGCTCAGGTGCCCACCATCTCTTGCTCAGACCATTGCAGTAGCCTCCCAAATGATTTCCCTGCTTGTAGCTGTTTCCTCTTCAACTCTACCTTCCACATATTTGCCTGAGCGATCTTTCTGAAATGCAAAATCTAACTGCAACACATCCTCTAGTAACACAGACCTGTTTATAGTTCCCAGCACACAGCGTCATGGTTCCTACCTTCTGAACCTTTGCTCCTTTAGTATCTCTGCCTGGAACCTCCCCCACTCCCCAGACGCACACCTGACTAACCTCAGCCTTCCCTTTAAGACTTGGCTCAGGGACCGCTTCCTCCAGGCCACCTTCTCTGACCTTCCTTGACTCTGTTAGTTATACCACGTTTGTGTTTCACTAACAATACATTGTGTATCACTCTAATAGTGCATAAAATAATACATTAGTTTATGTATCTGGGTTTCCCACTAGACAGTGAGTCCTTTGAAGCAAAGAACTATGCCTTGTTCAACTCTGTAACCCCACAATCATGGTTCCTGGCCCATAATAGGAGCTCAATACATGTTTGTTGAAAGAATGAGCAGGATATAGACATTCCAGATGTGGAGGCCTGTATTACCAAAAGCTTTGGATATATATGTATTCATACCTAGTCAAATTTTGTTTAAATAATGCTAAAACGTGACAGCCCTTGTTGAGCACTCCAAACTGGTCACAGAAGCAGGCAGCCCAGACTGTACTGAGCGGCGGCTAACATCGGCGTGGGTCATCCATGACGTGGACGGGGTAAATGGGGGGGGGCTGTGGGAGAGGGTTATAAATGGGTATGTATGTGGTCTGTGCGGGGATAATTTTGATTAGATTAGGGAAAGCTTCTTAGAGGAGGGAAAGCTTCCTGGGGTTTTAACAGGAAGCTGGTCGAAGCCATGAGCCACTTAAACACCCCACAGTGTTTCTTTCCCAGCTTCTCGCATTTCGGGGCCAGTTAATCACAGGTGTGGGCTCCAGCGCGCTGGTTCCTGGCTGAGCGGCCCCCTCCCCACAGAAGGGAGGCTTGTGTCCCACTCCTGCCTTTAGGAAGTCATTGGAAAGAGAAAGCAAGAATAGATTGCTGGCAGAGTCAGAGTGGAGAAACAGATGGAGTGAGGAGCGGGAAAGGGAAAGTTCGGAGAGAGCAGCAGCTCCATTTAACACTGTCATCGCTCTTTCTCCTGGAAGTCAAGTGCCTGCCACAGCACACGGCCATTAATCAGAAGGGGCCTTCGATGCGCACTCCCCGCAGCCCACGAGGCCCTTGCTGCACTCACAGACGCCCCAGCACCTGCAAGAGGGCCTGGGGAGCTAGCTAGTCACTGCCTCCCTTCCCTTCTTCAGACGGGACCACACCAAAGCCATCCAGACAGATGGCTTTAAAACTGGTGCAGCCATTATAAAACTGGGATTCTTTCCTGACACTTGAGTCTCTGAGCCTCAGCTAGGCCCCAGCAATCAAGCTACATTAGCTGAAATAGAATCAAACTCTCCCCACAAACTCCTGGTTGGTTAAATACTGACGTTGTTGTTGTCACCCACAGATCGTCTACGAATACAAATGATAGTTCACACGTGCAAATGAATGGCTTTCTTTGTCTCTAGAACTGCAAAGGGGAATGGACCCTTTGAAGAGAGTCGGGTCTCTACCCATCCTCTCGCTCTTCCTTTAGCTCTGACTAGCTAAGAAGCACTTCTTGGACTCAGGTACACTTATGTCTTAGCCCTTAAAACCCTCACTTCTCTCCAGGCAGGGAGCACTGTGGAATTTTACAACTAAGATGTAGAGGGGAAGCTCCTTTTGAACAGAGGAGGGGAGGGAGGGCTGTGGCCCAGGAGGCAAAGAGGCAGAGGCCACGGGAGCCACAGAGGGAGGTGCACAGAATTCACATGTAGAGAGAGAGTTCAGACTAATGCCACCATTCCAGCAAAAGACAGTGTGTTTGCTCTTGG